AAGCTCTGTAGGGATTATCTTTTTTTTCTGCTCTAGGTAGTTTATCTTTAATTTTTTCTGGAATTTAGAAAAATACATTAGATTTGTGTAAAAGTTCACAGCACTCCATTTCTTTTATTTACTTTAACAAATCTGAATAAACAATAGAAAAGCATTTTATTAAAAAAAATGGTGGAATAAAATTTTGGATATAAAAAAAGAAAAGGAAAAAAAACTTTATTTTCTATAGACAATCACAAGATTGTTTTTACAATGGAATTTTGTTTAAAGGTAACTTTAACTCAATGAATAATCAAGAATCTATACTGGAAGCAAACTGCCTGCATATGGACAGAAAATGAGTTAAGCAGATATACAAAAATAGAAAGGGGTGTAAGACAAGGATGGCAGCCACAATCTTAATAATATAAGATATGCAGATGACACAGTGCTGATAGCAGATACAGAAAGAAAATTACAAAAGCTCCTATAGAAGGTAGTGAAGGAAAGCAAGAAGAAAGGACTAAGTATAAACTACAAGAAGACAGAGCGCATGGTTATCAGCAAAAGGATGTACCCAAATGCAAATTACAGGTTGGGAAAACTAAAATTAAACAAGTACAAAAATTTAAATATCTGATAAGTGTTCTAACAGAAGATGAAAAGTGTGACATCGAGATCAGAAGATATATTGGGATGGCTCAAGATGTATTTCAGAAGCTAAGCAGAGTATTAAGAGGCAAAAAAACTGGTTAGAAACAAAGAAAAGTGTACTGAACTGTTACATGATATCTGTCCTCTTGTATGCCAGCGAATGCTGGACAATCTCTTCAAAGATGAAGAGACTTGAAGCAATAGAAATATGTTTCTATAGAAAGATGTTGAGGATACTATGAGCCGAATATGTGAGCAACAACAAGGTTTTGGAGAGAATGGAAACAAAAAGGAAACTTAACATCAGGAAAAGACAGTCGAGATTTCTGTGATATGTAACGAGGAAGGAGGTCTAGGAAAACCTGATACTGGACAGATTGCGGGAAAGAGAGACAGAGGAAAGCAGCGCCTAATATACTTGATAAGCTTGAGAAAATGGATGGCAGAACAGGGTTTGGGAAAAATAAAAAAAAAAAAAAAAAAAAAAACTTAAAAGCTACAAGGGATTGAAAGAGGTGGAAGTCCATGATAGCCTGTATCCTGAAGGGATATGGTATATAAAAGGTAAACTCTGTGTAGACATCAAATAATACTCAGCTTTTTCTTAAGTATTATAAATAGATAGTCCAAAGGATAGATCAGTTTGCCTCATTATTTTAATTCTCATTGAAAGAGTTGATATTTTTTTTAAGTAAAGCATCATGAAGATTTTTAATAGAAGACTTGACTATCAGGAATTAATATATTGTAATTTCATTTATTAATACAGTATTTGATAGTAAAACTTTTCTTTTTGTTTTTTCTTTCCCTAAAAAAATTGTTTGAACTCTTACATGCTAAACTAAGACATCTACTTTGCTAATTTTTACTTAGATGCTGTAAACTGTTAGCAATTGTTTGAACAAGTTTTTCCTTATGGTACCTAGACTTTATGAATTTACGCACAGTACCAGATTGGCAACAAGGTCTCATCAATTTACAGTTGAATTGGCTAGATGTAATTGTAAGTTCTCTGCTATCAGTTTCTTTTCTCACACTTCTCGCTTTTGGAACTCTCTTCTGGCTCCATGCTTTCCCACCAACTCTGATCTTCAAAAATTTAAATACAATGTCAATTGTTATCTACTATCTTCCTGATTAGTCTTCTATTGTTCTCGCACCTTCATAATGTTCAATTAAAAAAAAAAATGTATGAAACCCCATAATTTTGTAATAATTTATACTGAACTCCATAATGATGTAATAAATGTAAATACCTGGCTCTTATATGGCCAGCAGATATGTTAATGACTTCCATAATGTGAATAGCTTATATAGTTTTGACATTTGGATACAGTTTGAATGTTTACCCATGTTGGCTCTACTGAGATGTATGAATTTTTTCAGATGGCATGTTATTAGCTGATTAGAGGTTAGTAGTTATAGTTGCTCTTGTACAACTGATATATTGGAAGGAAACGTAATTCTAGCTCGTAAAACTTAATTAAAAAAAAAAGGTACAAAATAAATAAAAATTTATTTGCTTTACATATTAATGTGCAACTCCTGAGTAATTGTGACCTGTCATTGTTCTAAAAGAAGAATGCTACAAACATGTTTTTCTAGTTGGGTTGTTAAGCATAACCTTCAACTATAACAGTTGCTAAAAACAACAAAGAAATAAATACTGAATAGAATTGGTGGGAATAGTGTGAAAAAGAAGGAAGGTGTTGGACATAAAATGATGTCTTCCATTTCTTTTATGCTGCTGAGTAGCTTTTTAGGTGGAATGTTGAATTTATGGCACCTCTTCTTGAATTCTTCTCCTTTTATGGACATTGAAAATTTGATAATGATATATACATGTGTGTGTCTGTCTGTAATAATTTCAAACTTGTTCAGATGATCACAAGAAAGCATGATACTGACAGTCAACCTTATGGTTGATTCCTATGTTCATAAACATTCTATCCCCAAAGAATCTTTCTGCACCTCCTTTTTGCGTGTGTGTTTCCTTCTTTCTTTCTCTCTCTTTCCCCTCTCTCTCTTTCTCTGTTAGAAATTGTGTTCTCTTGTGATCATCAGCATTAAACAAGATCAATCTTAGGAATAGCAGATAGTGTAATGGATAATATTTCAGAACTGGAAATTGGAGAGCTAAATTCCAATTCCAGTCTGGTTCATTATATTCACTTACATGCAAATATCCTTGATAAAGGTATAAATTTACCTCTTCTTGCCTCTCCCAGCTATGGGTTAATTAGTAGGACCTGAATCAGTAAATCATATTAAAAAAAAAATTCTTACAATCTAAAAATATTTTAGGGCTTTAAATAGCCTGTAAAAGATTGATGAACTGTAAAAAAACAAATTCAAAAATTTTACTTGTTGCTGATGGGGCGGGTGGCTCAAAAGCTTTCCGGATTGTCATCGTTTTTACTTTATATATATAATATATATATGCCCAAGTCACATACCATAAGAAATGAACTATTTTAAAACCTTGACTATAACAACATTTTCAGATATATTTTTTCAACTATTATTATTGTACTCTACTCTTTCATGGAGTCAGTTTTTTTTACCTCCCAACTTTGTAAACATCTTTAAACAGTCAGTCATAATTATTACAAAGACACTACCACCGGGAAAAGCTAGTGCAGGAGAGTTAACGAGTAGAACAAAACTAGATTGTACAAACAAAAAAGATTTTTCAAATATATTTGTGATGTTTTAATAGAGGATAGAAAGTGTGACACTGAAATCCAAAGGTGCATTTGAATAGTCAAACTTGCATTCCCAAAACTAAGCAGAATATTAAAGAAACCATAAAACTTCATTGGAAACAAAGAAAAAAATGCTGAACTGTTACATGATATCTGTCCTCCTATATAGCAATAAATGCTGGACAATCTCCTAAATGAAGAAGAGATTTGAAGCAACAGAAATGTGGTTTTACAGAAGGATGTTGAGAATACCATGGACCGAATATCTGAGCAATGATGAAATTTTAGAGAAAATAATAAAAACAAAAAGGAAATTTATACTTAACATCAGGAAGAGGCAGCTGAAATTTCTAGGGCACTTAATGAGGAAAGAGGGCTTGGAAAATCTGATACAGGACAGACTGAAGGCAGGAGGGACAGAGGAAAACAATGCATAACCTACTTAGTGAACTTTAATAATGGTGGAACATGGTTTAAGAGAAATAACAAAGACAAAGTTTACTAAAAGCAACAAAGGATAGGAAATTGTGGAAACCCATGATCGTCTATGTCCTGAGGTAACATGGCACATAAAGAACACTAGATTGGTAGCTAGGTCTCATCATTTTACAGTTGAAATGGCTAGACGTAACTGCAAGTCTTATGCTAACAGTCTCTTTTCTTGCACTTCTTGCTTGTGGAACTGTTTTTCAGCTTCATGCTTTCCAGTCAACTTTGATCTTCAAAAATTTAAATGTAATGTCAATTGTTATCTTCCGTTTTCTTAATTTCTGTTCTTTTATTGTTCTCACTCCTTAATGTTTTTCTTATATTTTTTCACACACAATAACACCCCTGCATCTTAGTGGTTTTATTGCCTTGCTTAGGGTGAAATGGTAAATATATATAATTTTTATTTAGTTACCTATTTACAGGGTGTTTTATGCATAGCAATTTTTCTAAATAAACATGTTTATCATGGATGTTCCTGATATCTAGCTTTTTTTTTTTTTTTTTTTCTTCAAGTTTTTCAGAAGGAATGCTGACAAATAATTTTATTCTTGTTTATTAAACTATTGGTATTTTTTTATTTTATAAACAGATGTCCATTTTGAAAAAATTGCTATGCATGAAACAGGCCAATAAATGGATAGATGAATAAAATTTTTAAATTTTCCATGTGTATTAAAAAGCGCTTTTAAAAAATATTGAAAATTGAGCACCCTTATATGTGTTAGAAAAGAAATATGCAAATAATATATAAGGAATTAATGGATTAATTGATATTGTGTGTTACCATGGCTTTAGAATCAGGAGACAGTTGAAATTTCTAGCACTTAATTGGGAAAGTAGGGTTAGAAAATTTGGCACTCACTTGGCATACTGAAAGTAAGAAAGGCAAAGGGAAATAGCAAGTAACCTACCTAACAATTTTTTTATGGCTTATCAACCTTCTGCAGGTTATTTAAAGCCATAAAATATTTTTTACATTGTAAGAATTTTTGATATAACTAGGATTTACTAATACAAGTACTACTGATTAACCCATAACTGGGTGGGGCAAGAAGAAGTGGATTCATGTCTTTCCTAAAGATATTTGTGCATAAGTGAATATAACAAACTCTGCACTCTGGTTTCCAATTCTGAGCCATTATCCATTACACTGCCCATACATTGAAGTTTATAACACCTGGTATTCCCAAGTGGTCACCTATCTAGGTACTGACTAGGCTCGACGTTGTTTAACTTCGGTGTTGCATGCAAACTGGTGTTTGAACATGAGATGGCCACAAGCAACAAGCTTGTGTAAATGTACAGATTATGGAGTAGGATGGATAGTAAAAAAGATAAACATTGTTAAGAACTGCAAATGATAGGATATTGTGGAGAGCCATGGTCGCCTGCATGCTAAAGGGACATGTTACATAAAAGATTCTCCAGATCTGTTAATTTCAGATTATCAGTAATTCAATCATAAAACCAGTAATGAGAATTAATTCAGTAATTATTATTATTATTGGTTTCATTTCATGCTGCATTCTTTGTCTAGTCAACAGTTTCAAGATGTTATATGAAAAAAAAGTTTGCATCAAAACTGGAAATGTTCTTTTCATTATGAAATATACAATTTATCTGAGAGGTGATATAAAGTCAGAAAGCCAGGGGAAATACTTTGACTGAATAAATGCTTTGAAGTGATATGATTAAAAGATTTTGTCAAAAGGAAAAAAAAAAGGCTAGAAGCTTTTTGCATCAAGCTAATAAATATCGATAAGGATTATGTGGCTCATGTGGTAAAGAGGATTCTTTTTTCTATTTTATTTATTTTTTTAAATAAAAAAAAGCAAACTATGTATTAGTTATACTATTTATGTACTGGAGGGTTTACAAATGTTAGACTGGTGGTTCTTTGTGGTAGTACTAAATACTTTTCAGCACCCCTTTTAAATTAAAATAACAAAAACCTGTTAAACTGATATATATTTTTTTTTTAACTATGTTCTATCATGTGCTTTTCAAACCTTGATAATTTAACGGTCCTAAGTGGGATTAAATTAGAAGCAGTAATTTTTTTTTTTTTTGTGCCTTGCTAATTCATTAACGTTGGGGATATTGGTATCTAGTTTAGTGTGTATGAAATATCTAACATGTACATAAAATAATGATGATAAATACATATAAAATATTTGATGTATTTTTTCCAGTGTAGTTGAGCTTTGTGAAGGCATTTTACATTTTTTTTTAGTTGATTCACTCCAAGAAAGACAATAATGGCACTGAGATGCAAGGGGCTACTGGAAGTGAAAGAGAAGGAAAAAGCTTTAAAAGGAATCAGAAATGATGTTGCTTATGCAATGAGATATCTATATATATATATATATATATATATATATATATATATATACTTAAAATTGATTTATTGTATTTAAAAAAAAAAAAAAAAAAATGTGATGTAGTCAATGAAATCTTGTCTACCATATTGACACCATCTAGTTCTTAATGACTGAGATAGTTGAAAGCACTTGAACAAAAACATTAACTCTGGACAATTTACTCACAATTTTAATTTGAATGTACAACTTATTCAAAAACTGGAAAAATACAATAAAAAAAATCAAACTGATAGAGCTTGGTTGAATTTAACAAAACTTGCTTAACCAAGTTATTACTGCCTAAATATGCTGTGTGTGTGTGTGTTGCATTCTTTGCCAGAGTTCTTTGCTTGATGAAAATGCCTCCCTGAAGAGCCAAGTGCTTTCCATTTGAGAATCACTGGATATTTGACTTTTCCTTTCTTTTTCATCTTTCCTCCCCCCGCCTCAGGTGTGGTTTATAATAAGTTTCTGATACTTTGAATGTAACCATACCACATTCTAAACAAATCTACTAATAGAAAACTACATTGTTGCTTTCTCTCTTGAGGCTAATGTACTGATGATGAGGGGTGGAGGTTATGTCGTTGCCATAGATATTTATAGTTGGGATAAGAATGATCTTGAACAAAAAAAAAATCAAAATCAAGTGTTCCAAAAAATAGGACTCAAGATAAACCTTTCCAAAACAGAAATTATGATCTGAAAGCAGTGATGGCATGTATCCTGATTCCATCATAAAAATTTAGAATGAGGAATTACTAAATATTTCAAATACCTCAGTATATGGATTAGTTATAACAAATTTAGTATGAAAATAAGGAAATTAGCCATAAAATAGGTTGTACTTGTGGTAGTTTTGTCCAGCACTACAAATTGCTACAAAACCAAAATATTAACCTCAAAATGAGTCCTGTTCTTAAATAGCCTTGCCAGATTGAAACTTTCAGATGGATTCCATGCATAACACCAAACTTGAAATATCTAAACTGTCAGCTTTCTCAGATCAATGATTAAAAATGAGTGAACAAAGCCTGTAGGCGTTAGCAAAGACCAACCTTTCTTGAACCTTGTGGATTGGCACTACAGAATCACAAACAAAGATCTGTACCAAATAACAGAAATCACATCATTTCAGGTCTTTCAACAGCAGCAACAGCTAAAATGGATAGCAAATGTAACATGTAAGAGAAAATGATATAATGAAGATGTTGACATTCCATACTACTTCAAACAAAAGATTAGGAAGGAAGCTCCCATCAGTACTGAAAAGAGTGATAACAGTGGACACCTATTTTCCTGAAATAATTTTTAAAAGAAAGATGTAATAAATTTCAGCTGAAAGTGGCACTGCTTGCTCAATCAATGAATACCAAAAGCTTACTTATAAGGAAACATCTACTATTACCATGACCAGAGACCTTTTAGTTGTTGTTTGTTTATTTTTTATTTAAATCATTGAGTTAGAGCAATCTATATTTAATTATCCATGGGTATTTTATAAGGTTGAAAATGGACTGACTCTTAATGGGCATGGATTATTTAAACCTGCCCAAAACAGAAAAGTACAATTTTAAAATAACTGGAAAACAAAATTTCAAATTGTAGTGGGTGGGAAAATTTTATCAGATTTTACCATGGTTGGATACTGGCCACCAAGCAGACTCTCCTCAAATGTGAATCAAGTACCTATTTGACCAGAAGTTGTTAACCAATAATTTCACATACTACCTGTCAAAAATGATAAGATCACTTATATATAGATCTGCAGTCCTGTATTGAATTAATGTATCACACTCTGGCCCTCTGCTGAGGATCAGTGTAGTATCTGTATACTCTACCTTAGTATTTGCAAATTAGTTTTACCATACTATCCAAGAAGCAGAAAACATATACCATAGTGGATGATCACTTACTCTTTTACCTCTATGTTGGACACTTGAATCAGTTAAGATTTCTCACCTATTCTAGTTGTTCATATTTATTAAGTGCAACTTCAAAAAATGCAAAATTTACATATAATTTCTCAAATGCAGGACCATCAGCAACTCTACCTTTCACAAAATTCAGTTCTCCTCTGAAAATTTATTTTTTTTTTATTTAATTTTTTTACTTCAATTATGTAACTGACTGAAAACCCATTTTTCTACCTTAAAATTTAATTTTATTTAACAATCTTCTCTCTAACCATGTTCTAATGTGATTTTTTGTTTGTATTAGTTGTCTTTTGTTTCATGTACCACTTCCATTCAAGTATGATATCAGATTTATTTCTCCACTTGTGAAAAAAAAAATCCTTATTTTCTGTTGTGTGTCTACACCCCCACACCAATATGAGTAGCCAAATTTATCCCTTTTCATCTCCATATAAAAAAAAGAAAAACTTGTATATAAAAACTTTATACTTATTATTACTTTTCCAAATATGAGTTTTCAAAGAAATTGTATATTTATACTCCCTTGTCAGGTAGCTGATGAAGAATATGTGGTGGTGAGGTGGTTTTCTTCCTTCCCTGGAGAGGAACTAGAACAGACCCTGATGATCTTAAAATTGACTGACTATTTGTGCTTGGTGGGTAGGTCAAGCACAATATTGTTGCTACAAAAGTATGGAAGGGGTAAGGGACAAATTTATTAAACTTATTAAAATTTGAGAAAAATATTGGTCACGAAAAGGGTCCCTGTGGAGCATGTATTTATGACCACTGTATTAGTGTAACAAAAGTTATAGAGTAACATAGATAAACAGTCCATTATTGTCCATGATTAGTATTACATTCCTATTGATTTTAGCAATGAAACTTACAATTTTTTGCAATTATAGAGCCCTATCTCCTATAGTTAACCCTGAAGAATTATATATAAGGAGGTGCTGAAGTTTTTGGCTTAACCCACTTCCCTAGTCCTGGGTGTGGTGATAAATTACATCCAGCAGCAAGACCTCTGATTGGGAGATTGGAGGTTTTTAGAAGTGTGAAACCATCTCTTAATTGTTGTTGTTCTCCGGTTCACCTTGACCCAGGCTGATAGTACCTGTTAGGGTCCATGCTATGAACAAGTAGTGAACTCCCAAACAAAACACTATGAAAATATAAAAATAGCTGTTTAGAGCAAAATGATCAGCAATACATTTTATCTGTAGTGAAGGTATGCAATTGTGTTCAAAATATTCAGATTTCAGCATTAAATAACCCAGAGAGGTTGATATGCTGCTAAACAAAATCAACCAAACCAGACTAATTTCCCAAAATTTGACCAAACATCAGAATTTGGTTGGGAAGACTTGTTTAGGCCAAGAACATTTTGGCATCCCTTTGTATATATTTCAATCTCAATTCTGAATCGATGTTCTATGTTGAGGTGGCTCCTACATCAGTTACTTTGGAGAAATTAGAGACCTTAATACCTTTATTTCTATTCTTTGATGTCTGAGGTGATGCAATTAATACTACTGAATCCAACTCTTTACAGTGGATAATTCTGTTACTCTTTGTTCTTAAAGTCTGAACATCATTTGGGCATTGCACTTATTGATTTAATTTAAGTACATTTGGATATTTTGTCATATATGCTTGAGATTTCATTTTGTATTTATTTGAACCATTATCCTTCAATTGTTTGTTTGTACCCTTCAATTGTTAGGTGTTGTTTTTTGTTTGTACCCTTCAATTGTTAGGTGTTGTTTTTTGTTTGTACCCTTCAATTGTTAGGTGTTGTTTTTTGTTTGTACCCTTCAATTGTTAGGTGTTGCTAGTTGATATCTTTCAATTGTTAGCTGTTGTTAGTTGGTATTATTCAATTGTTTGCTGTTGTTAGCATACTTTAGTTGTGACTTGTTGCTAGCTGAAGAGTATTTCTTTTGTTAAGTTGCTGGTGTGTTGAAAGTCTGGAGTTACTTAGAAAGTTTCTGTAATTGAAAA